TTTTGTATAATTTTTTTTCACTTTAATTGCTAATATTTTTACTCTTTTAAACAATAATTTAGGTTCGGTATTATCAGTCTTGAGGCTCCATAAGCATCCTCATAAGTCAGAATTTGTCGATTAGGGAGCTTGGCTGCAGCTCTAAACACAGGGTGTTCTGCAACACTTCTTGTACAAATTGACGGTTAATATAAAGAAATTTATTGTTATAATTTAATTAAACCTAAAATAAAACTATAAAATATATTAATTAGTTTGAAGTCAAAATAATTTGTAATTGTAAAAGAGAATCATCAAATATGTTATTACATTGAATTATAACAAAGAATAAATAAATAAATTTATTTAGAGGACTCTTAACTAAAATAATGTTAGTTTTGTAGTTTAGTGTTCAATTTAAGTTGTAATTATATCCTCGATTTTGAAATTTTTTTTTGTAAACGAGTTTTTCCGCATGGTGCATTTACATATTTTTGTAATTGGTTCGTAGTGCCGCGTTGCGCGTAATCCATATGTACCCAAAGTTATAGTTACATTTTAAAAGTTCACCGATTTTTAAGAAAAAGAGTACTAAATATTTGAAAACCAAAAAAGATAATAATAATTATAATTAACTTCGTGACTCTTATTAATACTAGTGCTAAATTTGATCATTTTATTTAATTTATAAGAAGAATTCTTGACATCACAAAAATTTTTTTAAATGATTTAAACTTAAGATTTTCATAGAATATATTATTAAGTAGTAATTAAAAAAATTTTACTTCAAAAGAGTAAGAAAACTTACTGGTCGTAAGCAGTAGAATAAGAAAACTTACCGGTCGAAAGCTGCAGAATAAGAAAACTTGCCGGTCGAAAGCTGCAAAGAAGAAAACTAGCCGGTCAAAAACTACGATGTCTAGAAGAGAGAAATGTAGTTAATCATTTTGTTGATGTCTTTGAAAATTTCATCACTCAGAAGATAAACTTGCTAAATTTTGGAAAAAAGCAACTTTAACTTCATCTAGAAAAGTGCCTTTAAGTAGTATTACGATATATTTCCTAATTCTTGTCTAAATAACAATAAGTTTTAAAGTTATTATTTGACTAAGATATACGCGCCCATTTATATTTTTATTGTAAAAGTAACAAACGAAACAATTTTATCATTTATTTTATGTTGTTATTTTTTAAAAATATAAAATCCATCCAATCATCCAATCATCCAAGCCATCCAATCATCCAATGGTTCATCCAAAACTAACGCAGTTTATATTTATGATTACGGGATAAACAAAATGATAAAACTCTGTTGTGACAATAAACAATAAAGATTAGATAACAATGTTTAAATGCCTCATGTTTAAAATTATGGTATTTAGGGTAACGAATATAAAAATTATTAAAACTGGCAAAAGTATGTCTAATTAACAAAAATAATGATTGATCTTAAATCTTTAATTATATACTGTATCTGTACTTTCTGTATTCTCAAAAATATTTGAACGTGTTATTTGTAATAGCATTTATAATCATTTTAATGAAAATAACTTATTTTACACAAAACAGTTTGGTTTTCGGAAAAACCATTCAACTGAACACGCAGTAATTGAAATAGTAGATCAAATTACTAAAGAATTTGAAAATAATAACTTCACTCATGGCTATTTATCGCCCTATCAAAAGCATTTGATACGGTTGATCACCACATTCTTTTAAAAAAATAGAACACTTCGGAGTGGTAAATAAAACCTATGATTGTTTAAAAAGCTACCTCAGTAAGAGAAAACAATATGTTGTTAATAAGGAGAACTAAAAATTATAAATGGAATCCCACAAGGGTCAATTTTTGGTACTCTGCTGTTCTTGATTTATTTAAATAAAATGATATCTATTAAACAAAATGAAAATGTTTGCTGACGACACAAACATCTTCCTTTCAGACAGTGAAATTAAGCAATTTTATTCTGACATAAAAAATGAATTTCATATCAGAATAAAATTGAAAGAAGAGATGTCAATGAATGGTTTAGGGATAATAAACTCTCAATGTGGATAAAATAAAACTTTATTTCATAAAAAATCACAAGATGAAAACTTTCTTTTCAAATTACCTGATTTGATTTTAAACGATAAACAAATTAGAAAAAATGAGTCAATAAAATTCTTAGGAATTCTTATTGATAAAAATTTATTTTGATTTCCCTACATAAATTATATTCAATCAAAAGTTAGTAAAACAATTGATTTGATGTATCAAGTTTGTCCATACACAACATCAAAAAGTTTGAAACTACCCAGTGGGCATGTGTTGCTCGGGGTTCGTCCGTCGGACGTCATGATAAGCCCAATGAATGATCCCCTGGACGACGCGTGCAAACTGGGTAATTTATTTTGGCCTAATACATTGTTTCATTTACTATTCCAATATTACATGGGCTAGTACTCAACCAACAAAATTTAAAAAAATATTTTCTCAACAAAAACATGCATGCAGACTTAAATAAAAGAAAAAAAATAT